ACGTCAGATCCGCTAAACATTATTTAATAAAACTTGGTGGACACATGCCTCATCATTATACAGAGTGTTGCAACTATCAATCATCTCAACTTCAAGGTCAAAGTCACAAACCAAGGTCAAAGTTAAATTGAGGTATATGCTTGTGCAAACCATAACTTCTGATCCAACAATTTTCAGTCATCTGAAAATTGTTGGATTGTATACCTGGATTATTGAGCATGGACTCGTTTGGTCATAACTTCTTATCTTCTAAATGTAATTCAATGAAACTTGATGCACATCACTGGATGGAGTGTCACATACACCTTATATCACCCCAGCTCCAAGGTCCTCAAATCATGGTCAAAGTTAAAAGGTCTTGGCTTGTCCCGCCCATAAAGCCTGCTCAAGATAATTTAACAAAACTTCACACACACAGTTTCATGCACTTCCCATAACCCCAGCTTCAAAGTCAAGTTCACAAATCAAAGTCAAATGTTGCACAAGGTCTTTGCTTGTCCGGGTCATTGCTATAGACTGCTGTATAATAATGTGCTGTATGTGGAACTCCTGTTTTAAAAAGTTGGAGAATAAGATCAGAATCCAAATGGATCCTTGGGAGACACCTGTGGTTGTGAGAGGGACTGAGTTATAGTTTACTATGGTCCTGAGTTCTGTTCGATAATTTCTAAATCCATTTAGAACTGTTCTCACTAAATTGTCTTTTTTTTATTAACAAAAGTCGATCTACTTAATGAAATGCTTTGGTAAATTCAACAAATAAAGTTGCACAATGTTTGTCTAATGACTTTTATAGAACTTTGTGTGGTAGTAGCTGAGAGTCATCCAGAAATGACTGTTTCTGCCATTTCAGTGAAACTTGAGTTGTTCTTTGTAAACAAGACACCTGTGTGGGGGCTTTTAGTTGCAGACGCTGTTGAAGGACTTCGACCAGCCAGTCCACATTGAGCTGGACTCTTTCAAACCTGCAGATGAGCCAGGAAAAACCGAGGTTCTTTTTCGGTCCTTTGATGCCACAAGCAAAGAAGACGTTGTGCCGATTGACGATCAGCTCAGTCACATCAGGTCCCTGAATCCCCCTGACATCAGTGTAAGGAACGGCATCTTGTACTGGGAAGGTAAGTCGTAGTTAACAGCTTGCACCAGTGCTGTTTAACATGTAAACAGTTGGTTTTTAGTCTTGCTGGTAGTATTTATTTATTTAGGATGCTTTTGTTTTATCCTCAGGTCCAGACATGTGTGTTTCTGCGCAATCTCAGTGTCCTCGTAGTTCTCTGTGCATAAACACTTTTGGCTCAAACGTGTGTGTTTGCCAACGTGGTTACTATGATGTAAGCTCTTTAATAGATTCTGCTGCAGCGTCACGTCCGCTCTGCAAAGGTACAGTGCAACATTTCTTCCTAATAACTCCACATTAGCATTATGCACGTTTTTCTTTTTCAATGAAGCACAAGTTATACTTACAAAATTGGCAAACATGATTAGTAGTTTATTTTTTTACTTTCTCTTTTTCTGTGGGCTGCTCTCACCTAAATTGGTGATTTTGTATTCTAAATGTCCAGCTAACATATTAAGAGGGTTTGATTTTAAACTTTTATTGAAATAAATCGCATCAAAGAACATCCTTTGTGGCAAACAAGCGGCACGAGAACAGAGAACCTGAGTGATCACATGATCCAGTTGTACTGGTTTACCCTCTGTTTTGCAGTCAAACATTCTGTCAAATCTTCGTACGACACGACTACATGAGCATTTAACTGCTGTGTTCAGTGCATGAAGATTCATTAACCTGAACAAGTTTTTTTTTTACTTAAATTGATCTAAAGCTGTACCATACAGCTTTATTTAAGCATTATAAGCAACCATGGGACCACATTGCTGTACAGTTGGTCAATAAAACACAGCAGCTGTCACAATACGTAATAAAAGCCTAAAAAACTAATCAAGATAGCTTTGTATGCAAACCAAAAACACATTAAAAACATATAATAAAAAATGTAAAAGTCCAGCTCCTCCGGGGGAATCCCAAGACGTTCCCAGGCCAGTCGAGAGATATAGTCCCTCCAGCGTGTCCTGGGTCTTCCTCTGGGTCTCCTACCGGTGGGACTTGTCTGGAACACCTCACCATGGAGGTGTACAGGAGGTATCCTAACCAGATGCCCGAGCCACCTCAACTGGCTCCTCTCGACGTGGAGAAGCAGCGGCTCGGAGTCTCTCCCAGACGACCGAGCTTCTCACACTATCTCTAAGGGAGAGTCCAGACACCCTGCAGAGAAAACTCATTTTGGCCGCTTGTATCCATGATCTTGTTCTTTCAGTCACAACCCAAAGCTCATGACCATAGATTCAATTCAATACAGGTTATTTATATAACGCCAAATCACAACAAAGTTGTCTCAGGGCACTTTACAGGAACATTCACATAAAAGCCAATTAGTAAAGTTCTCTATCTAAGGAATCCAGCAGACAAGTTGAATCTTGGCTTCGTTGCAGTCTCCCATCCTGAGCAAGCACAGTGGCAACAGTGGAAAGGAAAAACTCCCTTTTAAAAGGAAGAAACCTCCAGCAGAACCAGGCTCAGGACAAGTGGCCATCTGCTTTGACCGGCTGGTTGAGAGGACAGGAAGGAGAGACAGAATAACACAGAATGGTAGGTCCAGGTGTATCTGAAGACAAAAGAACACGTTAAAGATAGAAAAAATAATTACAAATACAAAACAGGTTGAGCAGAGTAAGTAAAGACAGTAGCAGAGTGAAAACATGTGGTCAGTTTGTCCTCCAGCAGTCTAAGCCTATAGCAGCATAACTATGTTGTTTTCACTCTGGCAGCAGCATTTTGGATCAACTGAAGACGTTTTAAAGAAGTATTTGGACATCCAGATAATAAACCATTGCAATAGTTCAGTCTAGATGTCACAAATGCATGGACCAGTTTTTCTGCATCATTTTTAGATAAGATGTTTCTCATTTTAATGATATTACGCAGGTGGAAGAAGGCAGTTCTAGTAATGTTCTTAATGTGGGGGATAAAAGACATGTCCTGATCAAAAATAACACCAAGATTTTTAACATTAGAGCTGGAGGACAGATTGTCATCTAAAGAGGGAGAACGACTGAAAAATGAATTCCGAAGGTGCTCTGGTCCAAAAACCAAAACCTCAGTCTTGTCTGTGTTCAACAGGAGAAAATTAAGGATCATCCAGGTTTTTATGTCTTTAAGACATGATTGATGAGGGTAGGAACGTAGATCGACCAGTAAATTGAGAGCTTCACATTTTGACTCGGCTCTCTTCACCATGACAGACCGGTACAGCACTTGCTTCACTGCAGATGCCGCACCCATCCGCCTATCGATCTCTCGCTCCATTTTTCCCTCATTCGTGCACACTCTGCTGCGAACTGCTCCAGCGAAAGCTGTAGATCATGACCTGATGAAGCCAATAGAACCACATCATCTGCAAAAAGTAGAGAAACAATCCTAAGGCCACCAAAACGGATCCCCTCAACAACTTGGTTGCGCCTAGAAATTCTGTCCATAAAAGTTATGAACATAATCAGTGACAAAGGGCAACCTTGGCAGAGTCCAACTCACACTGGGAATGAGCCCGACTTACTGCCAGCAATGCGGACCAAGCTCTGACACCGGTCATACAGGGACCTAACAGCCCGTATCAAAAGGCCTGGTACCCCATACTCCTTGAGTACCTCCCTCAGGGTTCCCTGAGAGACGCAGTAGAACATCTTCTCCAAGTCCACAAAACACATGTAGACTGGTTGGGCACACTCCCATGCACCCTTCACGACCCTGCTGAGGGTGTAGAGCTGGTCCAGTGTTCCACGACCAGGACAAAAACTGCACTGCTCCTCCTGAATCTGAGGTTCGACTATCCAGCGGACCCTCCTTTCCAGAACCCTTGAATAGACCTTACAGGGAGGCTTAAGACCGTGATCCCCCTGTAGTTGGAACATGCTCTACGTTCCTGGTCCTCAGTTTGCCAATCGTGTAAACCAACACAATCCCTCAACATCCAAAGCATTAAGGAACTCCTGGAAGAATCTCATCCACCCTCGGGTCCCTGCCACCGAGAAGCTTTTTAACCACCTCGGTGACCTCAGCACCAGAAATTGGAGAGCCCGACTCAAAGTCCCCCCAGGCTCCACTTCTTCAGTGGAAGACGTGCTGGTTTGAAATTTTATTTTTTTAATAATCCATTCAGAGGACCTGACTTAACTTTGTTAGATCTGCTAAAGCACATTTAAACAGAGCAGTGTTTCTGTAGGAACTGATGAGGTGACTGACATAAAAATTTGTCAGAAAAATGCTGACTCGGCATTCACTCAGAAAATCTAACTCTCGTTTCGAAACAGCCAAAGGTCTTTTCAACCAGTGTCTGGACAAGGTGATGACTGGTGGAATAGCTAAATCTTACCTGGCCGCGCTCTTCGGGGGAAACGTTGAGGTGAAGCTGAACGACGGCCGCTGTTCTGTGAATGAGAGCGAGCTGCTCTTCTACTTCCACATGTCCCGAAAGCCGTCAGAGTGTGGAACAGAGTATCACGTAAGATTAGTTTGTGCCGGTGAAATGTTCTGTTGGAGCAAAGCCACTCTGAATATTGACTCTGTAAAGTATTGCGCTAAATGCTTGTCTGTGCTTTCTAGATGAACAAAACTCACATCTTGCTTCAAAATACTCTGATGGTCAGTCTGACTAAAGAGCACACCATCACTCGACGGGACCTCAAGGTTGTTTGGAAATGTGTGTATCCACGGTATTATGTCCGTAATGCTCAAGTGTTTACCAATATGGAATGGTGAGACACACGTTAAGCTTTAGTATTTCTGTGTAAAATTATAATTACCAGATTTTTAAATTAAAACGCATATTAAAATGTATATTTCTGTATAGAAAAATAAAAAACCAGCTTTGTTTTTGTTCTGTTGCAGGCTCACCTCAATAACCGTGGTGGAGTTTAACTCCTCACTGCAACTGGGCCTGACCATGACTCTGTACAGGGATGAATCCTACACTTCCAGTTACTCTGATCTGGTAGAGCTGGGAATTGAAGACACTCTTTTCTTCCAGGTGGCCCTGCAGACCAACAGCTCCTTTGCCTCAGATGTGCTGCTGCAGGTGGAGTCCTGCTGGGCCACTGAGAGCCCCAACCCAGGAGATGCCATCCAAGCTACTTTCCTTCAAGAGGGGTATTTTTATTATGAACTGATTGTGTTGATAGCATATGGCATCTTGGAAAACTCCTAATTTTTCATGTTCAGTTTAGTTTATTTCCAAAGCACCAAACCACAACAGAAGTCGTTCCAGAGCACTGCACAGAAACATTCACATACATATAAAGTGATTTAATAACATTATTTATCTGCTTTGAGTTTTCACTTCATCAGTCTCCCATCCTAAGCAAGCACAGAGGCAACAGTGGAAAGGAAAAACTCCCTCATGAGGAAGAAACCTCCAGCAGAACCAGGTTCAGGACAAGCGGTCATCTGCTTTGACCAGCTGGGTTTAGAGGACAGGAAGGCGGAACAGATATATGCTTACATAGCTGCCCACTGCTCCACCTGGGTGTATCCCAGGTGTGATGAGTTAAATGCAGAGAACTAATTTCATCACTGTATGGGGACATACAATGATGACAACACATAGCACTTTCAGTGTGTTTTGGGTCAGAATTGGACTTGAGAAGTTTGAAGCAGAGTTGGGCTATATAGAAATGTCCAATCATTGAAGAGCTTATGGAGCTCTGTTCAATAAGTTTAAAAATGGACAAATTATGGTACAACTTAAACCTAACGAGATGTGACCACCCGCCTAAACTGATGGGCCCAGCAAGAGCATTAATCTGAGAAACATCCCAGAAGACCACAGTAACTCTGGAGGAGCTGCAGAGACCAGCTCAGTTGGGAGAATCTGTCCACAAGGCAATTATTAGTTGTGCACTCCACAGATCTGGTCCTCATGGAAGAGTAGAGAAGGAAGCCATGAGTACGGTTTGTCACAAACCATGTAGCGACACATTAAACACATGGCAGAAGCTGCTCTGCCAAGATCAGGCCAATATTGAGCTTTGTGGCCTAAATACGAAATGCTACATGTGGCAGAAAACAAACAGGCAAATCACCCTGAACACACCATCCCCACTTTGAAACAGGGTGGTGGCAGTGTCATGCTGTGGGGATGTTTTCCTTCAACAGAGAGAGAGATGCTGGTCAAAGTACCAGTAGTTGAGAAGATAAATGGAGCTAAATATAGTGTTGGACACTGCAAAAAACTTGAGACTGGAGCAGAATTTCACTTTCCAGCAGAGCAATGACCTGAAGCATCCAACACCAAAATTCATTGGATCAAAGCATATTATGTTAGAATGAACCAGCCAAGACCTAAATCCAACTGAGAATCTGTGGCAACATATGAAAGCTGCTCTTAAGACTCCAATCTGACTGAGCTGCAGCTATTTTGTAAAGTTGATTTGTCGAAACGTTCACTTTAAATGTGCCAAGCTGGTAGAAAACAAACCTCACAAGGTTAGCAGCAGGAATAACGGCAAAAGGCGAGTTAAGTTCCATTTTCCAGATCTTTATATGGAAGAAAGCAAAAAGAAAATGTTCTTTCCACACATGAATTTCACAAATGCAATATGGATTTGATGCTTCACATCCTGCTAAACGCTAGGTGTTCATACAATTAAACATTTTTCATTTCAACTGTCTGGTCATATTCTTATGGCTGATTGGTGTAACGCAACAGACTGCAGTTTGAACATTGTCTGAAGTGTAATTTTTTTTTTTTCATTTTCAAACTCTGTAAAGATTATACAGGTGCAGTAAGGTGACACTAACAGCATCATGTGCTTGAATGTGCTTCAATTTATTTGCTGTGGGTTGTCTTCTTCTAAAGCTGCCCTCTTGATGACACGTTCCGCTGGCTCTCTGTTAATGGTGAAGCACAGAGAAGCAGGTTTTCCGTCCAGATGTTCCACATGCCATTAGGGTTACCCCTGTATTTCCACTGCTTGACCAACATCTGTGGGCATGATGAAGTCTGCACAAAGGTAAATCTGGGCTGTTCACCTGGGAACATGCTTATCTTAACAAGATCTTGATTGGGCTGTCAGAAATCACCAATTATGTTCAAAATGAATAATCAACCTTGAAGTGAAGTTCTGTCAAATAGTGTACATATGGCACAAAATACTGAGAGCCAAGGGTCTTTGTCCAAGCTACGCTAATTGAAACGAGTTATTGTCCCTCATATAGGAGCAAAAAGGGGTTATTGGAAAAATGTCTTAAGTTCATTTTTAATAATCCAGGTAAAAAAAATCCAACAAAGTTCAGTCAGGTCCTCTGGACGGTTTCTTTGATATTTCATCCTTCATCCAAAGGACTTCATCAGTCCGCGGAGCCACAACAAACACAGTCCCACAAGCAGCACATACACATAGTGGACCAACCAGTTTGCTGGTGATAAGATAGTTTCTGTGGTCTGCCCTCTCCCCCGTCGACTCCTCTGAGGCAGCCTTAGCCAAAGTGGTTCAAAACATCAAAGTTCATGCTCAATAATCCAGGTAAAAAAAAATCCTTGGAGGGTGGGTGTGCTGCTTTTGGGACTCAGTTTGTTGTGGCTCCTCGGTCTGATGAAGTCCTTTGGATGAAGGATGAAACATCTCAACAACAATCTTGCCAAACTACACATGTGTGTGTGTCTTATCTCACTCAGCCTTATAACCTGATTCTCACTCACTGCTGTTTGAATTGAGAAAGCTCCTCGGATGAGGAGCGAAACGTCTTCTGTTACAAATAAAGTCCAGTTGTTTTTGTATTGAACACTTTTTGAATTCATCATGTCCCGGATGACTGAGAATCTTCACCAGCATATCTCGACAGCAACAAAAAAGAAACTGTCCAGATGACCTGACTGAACTTTGATGATTTTTTTTTTTTTTTTTTTAACCTGGATTATTGAGAATGAACTTTGAATGCACTTTGAAAAGTTCTGTTCTGTTGAGATCTTAACATGAAGAGGTTTCTCATCGTTAACTGGTGGAACTCGGGCAAAGAGTCTCCGCCCCCTTTCAGAGCAGGTTAGGTTTTCAGCATCAGTTACCATAGCAGGGTTCCCAGGGAAAACCTGGAGAATGACTTTCACATTTTCCAGACAGGGAAAACTCAGGGAATTTGAGACAAACATCAAAACTCGGAATTTGACCACTGATCTGTTTATTAAAAGATCTGAGGTTTTCTACATGTGCATGAAGAGGGCTGGCATCAGAGGAGGGGGCGTGCCAAAGACGCCATCTTAGCACCAACGTAACTGGTTTGTTTCACTTTTAGAGTAAGCTGTTTGAGGGAAGAATCAGTTTTGTGTTGTTTCCTTGACTGATGAAGCCTTCTGGATGGAAGGTGAAACGTTTCAGTAAAAAAAAGAAACTGTCCAGATGACCTGACTGAAAATTGTTGGACACGTGCATGTATTAATGCTCGTATTCTCATCGAGTCCATGATCTGCTTCTACAGGGAGCCGATCTGTAACTCTTTCATAATGTTAAAATACTTATTGCTACATTAGATTTTTTTAGACTCCACCTAAAATAAGTTCTGAGTGTTTGGTGAGACTGGTGCATCTTTAGGATTTACTCAGAGAATTTAGTTCTCATGAAATCCTGGGAACTCTGCCTGGTAACAGACCCTAAATGAACCTTAAGTTACCTCAGTTTGGCTGTTTTTGGTCACTGGTATCGGATTAATATTTTATTTGTCCCTGAGAAAAATTTTAAATGTCAATTATTTTGTGCTACTCTGTATTCTGTTTTTCTTCTTCTGGCCTTTCTGTTCTCTTAACATCCATCCCATACAATCATATTTTACCACAATAGACTGATTCACTTTTGACTTAAAGCGACATTTTGGCCTTTTGAAGTCGGTTTTATGCAAAGGTTATGAACAAATCTCATAAAGCTGTTTCAGAATGGAGAGACTACTTTGGAAGTGGCTCCATTCAGAACTAGCCATTAGCTCATCAGTGCTAACAGACTTGAACTTTGTTTTCCAAACTGAGGGTGGTTATTGATAACCTTATAAACCTTAAATATTGCTAATTCATTCTGTAATTATGGTGTAAAATTAGTATGCATTTCAAATATGCAAGATGAGGTTTGAACAGGTTAGTAATACAGCTGCTTAAATATGCACTGGCACCCTTTAAAAAAATTACAAAGCAGTATAGTAATATGTTTGTAACTATTGATCTGTTTTTTCAATAAAAATTAATGGTTCACCCTCATGTTAAAGCAGAACTGCAGCAGCCAGCGGCGCCTCAAAAGGTTGGTCAGCCAGATGGACGGAAAAGAGAAACAAGCAGCTGTGGTGTCAGCTGGCCCGCTGACCGTCAGCACGAGGGTGAAGTCGATCCATCCCGATTCCTGTGAGTTCATGACAACTGAGCATCTTCCCAGCCTGACATGCTTCAGATTCAACGTTTTACACAAACTGCAGGAATGGCAAATTTTAAGCTATCGCTGAATCCGACTTTAATTCTTCTAACTAGAGAAACTGCATTTCCTGCGAAAATGCAGTGTCAAAAAAAAAAGTTTCAAAAAGTTGAAATGAGTTTGCCAAAAAAGGTCAAATTAGCATAAAACAGCTAAATAGTAGCTGAAATAGCAGTAAAAGCTAAAACTTGCAGAAATAAGCTGAAATTAGCAGAAAGAAGTTGGAAGAAAAACTAAAATGTATTTGGCAGAGAATCTAAAAGGATCACAAAACAGCTGAAAATAGCTGAAAATAATGACATTTGCACAAGGAAGCTGAAAGAAGCTGAACCAGAACAAAACGTGAAAGGAGCAGTAAAAGGTTGTAAACGGATCCAAAGATATAAAGGATGTAAAATGAGCTAAATTCTTCATTTTCTATTAACATAAATGGCAGAAAAGGCTAAACGGTGTCAAAAGCTAAAATTGCATCGATTTCAGGGTTGTCTGGAAAAAGCTGAACATTTTGATATATCAATCCATCTCCCACATGTTCCCAAGTCAGTTCGCAGGGGCAGCAGCTTGAGCAGGAAGGCCCAGACATACAGGTCCTTCTCAAAAAAATTAGCATATTGTGATAAAGGTCATTATTTTCCATAATGTAATGATAAAAATGAAACTTTCATATATTTCAGATTCATTGCACACCAACTGAAATATTTCAGGTCTTTAATTGTTTTAATACTGATGATTATGGCATACAGCTCATGAAAACCCAAAATGCCTGTCCCAAAAAATTAGCATATTTCATCCCACCAATGAAAGACAAGTGTTTTTAATACAAAAAACGCCAACCTTCAAATAATCATGTTCAGTTATGCACTCAATACTTGGTCGGGAATCCTTTTGCATGAATGACTGCTTCAATGCGGCGTGGCATGGAGGCAATCAGCCTGTGGCACTGCTGAGGTGTTATGGAGGCCCAGGATGCTTCGATAGCGGCCTTAAGCTCATCCAGAGTGTTGGGTCTTGCGTCTCTCAACTTTCTCTTCACAATATCCCACAGGTTCTCTATGGGGTTCAGGTCAGGAGAGTTGGCAGGCCAATTGAGCACAGTAATACCATGGTCAATAAACCATTTACCAGTGGTTTTGGCACTGAGCAGGTGCCAGGTCGTGCTGAAAAATGAAATCTTCATCTCCATAAAGCTTTTCAGCAGATGGAAGCATGAAGTGCTCCAAAATCTCCTGATAGCTAGCTGCATTGACCCTGCCCTTGATAAAACACAGTGGACCAATACCAGCAGCTGACATGGCACCCCAGACCATCACTGACTGTGGGTGCTTCACACTGGACTTCTGGCATTTTGGCATTTCCTTCTCCCCAGTCTAAATCATCATGGGCAAATCCAGAGTGGAATAAGGTCCAGCCCCTCTCAAGGAGATTGGTTCCAGAGCCCATGCTGTGCAATGAGGTGAGCCCAACTATATGTAGTCGGTTCCTCTCAACCTCATGCACAATCTCAGGCTCCTTCCCTTACAGAGAGTTATGTTCCATGTCCCAAGAGCCAGATTTGGTAAGCCAGGGTCAGAGCGCCAAGGTCTCCGCCTTCGGCTACTGCCCATAGCATCATGTTCCCGACTTTTGTGGCCCCTCCTGCAGGTGGTAGGCCCACAGGAAGGCAAACCCATGTTGCTCATTCGAGCTGAGCCTGACCAGGCCCCATGGGTAGAAACCCAGTCACCAGGCACTCGCCGACAAGCGTAGTGTGGCCCCGGTAACCCATGTCTGGGCAAGGGTCACGGAGTTTCTTGATATACATTGTCCATTAAAAGTCTTTGGAATCAATCTTTTTCTGGCCCATCACCTAGGACCAATCTCCCTTGGGGACCCTACCAGGGGTGAATGTAATTGCCCCCGACAGCATAGCTCCTAGGATCATTCAGGCACACAAACTTCTCCACCACGATAAGGTGGCAATTCAAGGAGGAGCATTTTGATATCTGATTTGTTGAAACAGCATCAAAATTGTGGAACTAGAAAGATGCCAAAAAATGTATGAAAGAAAAATGGATCATAATACTGTGAATGCTTCATAAACATTCATACTATTAGTACATTTCTACTAGTCCAAAATTAGGCAATATCTACTTCTTTCACTAATAATCTCTAATACAATCTGACGGGCTTTTGTTTGTTTTTGTTTTCCAGGGACGGAGCACACAAGCACGGTTGTGATTGCAGCTTTGTCTGTAAGCTTTTTGGGCATAACTGTCCTATCTTTGTGTGCAGTTGAGGCAGTACTGAAGTACTACAATCAGCTACGGCTGGAATAAACTGTGGAACAGCATCTGTGAGTGTGTCATGTCTGCAACAAACCGGGCTCTACTATAGATCAATAGAGAAGAACATTCTTACATGCTAATTTAAGTTTTGAACATTTTCACTTAAGATCACAGTTAGCAGATTAATGCAACGTAAATTTTTTTTATTCCATTATATATATATATATATATATATATATATATATATATATATATATAAATAAAAATGTATGCAGACCCTTTCCAAAAAAATTAAATATCATGGAAAAATTGTGTAACTTCAATAATTCCATTCAAAAAGTTAATCTTTAATAGATTAAATTGTGGGCCCTTAATCTATAAACAATTAAGTATTTTTGTTTATTTTTACATGATTTGGGCTTCCAGCTCATGAAACCCACGAAAACAGGATTTTAAAAAAAATTAGAATACTTTGAAGACATCAGTGAAAATAAATTAGGATCACAACAAATCAATCAAAATATGATACTTTCAAAACAATTATGTCAATCTTCAATACTTGGTTGGGAATCTCTTTGTCTTAATCTCTGCCTCGATGTGACGTGACATTGAGACAATCATCCTGTGGCATTGACTGGGAGTTATGGAAGACCAGATTTCCTTGATGCTGTCAGCTCTTCTTCTTTGTTGTTGGGTCTGGTGCCCCTCCCTCACTTTCCTCTTGAGAATTCTCCACAGATTCTCAATGGGGTTTAGGTCCAGCGAGTTGGCTGGCCAGTCAAGCACTGTGGACATCAAACCAGGTTTTGGTGCTTCTGGCAGCATGGGCAGGGACCAGGTCCTGCTGGAAGATGAAATCTGCATCTCCATACAGATCCTCAGCAGAAGGAATCATGAAGTCCTCTAAAACATTCTGGTAGACTGTTGCGGTGAACTTGGATTTAAGAAAGCAGAGTTTACCAACACCTGCACGGACATTGCACCTCAAATCATGACTGACTGTGGATATTTCACACTGGACCTCAACCAGTATGGGCTCTGTTCCTCACCCTTCTTCCTCCAAACCCTTGAACCTTGATTCCAAATGAAAGGCACACTTTACTTTCATCGGAAAAGAGGACAGAGGAATCCAACAGTTGTAGTCCATCTCCCGGATGCGTCTGAATGTGGTGGTTTTTGAAGCTGTGACTCCCGCCTCATTCCACTCTTTCTGGATCTCTGCCAGATTCTGGAATCTTCTCTGTTTGATAATCCGCTGAAGCCCACGGTCATCTCTTTTGCTGGTGCATCTTCTCCTGCCACATTTTGTCCTTCCACTAGACTTTCCACTGATATGCTTGGACACAGCACTCTATGAACAGCCAGCCTCCTTAGCTATGAACTTTTGTGGCTCACCCATCCTATGAAGGGGATCAATGATGGTCTTCTGACCAGTTGTTATGTCTGCAGTCTTCCCCATATTGAACCGAACAGAGACAATTGAACCAAACTGAAGCAATTTAATGACACCTGAGGAAACCTGTGCAGGTGCTTTGAGTCTAGTAGATGATCAGTGTGTCACTCAGTTTAAAACATTCATGTCCTGCAACATTTGGGCTGATTTCTTCACAGTATTCTAATTTTTTTTAATCCTGTTTTCGTGGGTTTCATGAGCAGGAAGCCCAAATTATGTAAAAATAATCAAATACTTGAAATCATTTAAAATGTAGGCCCTGAATCTATCATCTATTAAATATTAACTTTTTGAATGGAATTATGGAAGTTAAATATTTCCATGATATTCTAATTTTTTGGAAAGGGTCTAGTTTTCTTTTATTAAGCCTTCACAGTTTTGCCAGTCTAAAGAACTGCATTGCCCAGAAGCCATCAGTTCACTTCACAGAAGTCAACACTGCTTCCTACTGCTGCTTGCTGCAAATGAAGGGAAAGTTTTGCAGCACAAAGTCAGAAGTTCTGTAAGGATCAGCTCACAGGACTGACGGGAAAGTATCAAATAATTCTGAAGCTGAACTCATCCTTCATGTTGTATCTTCACTGCTGTGTATCTGGGCTGCAGTTGATTTGGACTCAGTGTGACCCGGATCTTGGGAGCTGCAGATGACAGACGGCTGCGGGCTTCAGTCAGGTTCTGGTTGCGCAGTGCTGGTCTGGATGTTGTTAAAATGACGTAGCTTTAAGAGTTTAAATTGCAAGAGTGTGGGACGGGTTTCTAAAGACTTAATATAAAGTTTATTGTACTTGGTGGTACTATAACAAGTTAATACTTTTTGTAACGTAACATAGTAACACCTCCCATATGTCATGCCATCAGTTCAGTTACAACATGTGCTCTCAGGACATCATTACCTGCAGCGTTCTCTCAGTGCGGAGTAAACTTGGCAAAAAGGCCTTTTCCTACTCGGATCCTGCAACCTGGAGCATCTTGCAACAGGAACTGAAGTCATCTACCTTGATTTAGTTCAGGGATTTCAAACATTTGATAATAGAAAAATCAAAAAGATGGTTTTACAGAATTCAACGAAAAGCAAGAGAAATGAGGAGCTGAAAGAAACGGAAGGGAGGAAATGGTCATAACACAACTCTGAACACAGGCTTGAACAGGACATCATTCATGATGGGGAAGCATAACACCAGTAAACGAGACTACTGTGGGGAAGATGAGAACATAAAACTAGTAATGGTAGTATGAAACAGAAGCTTCAAAACATGCTTCAAACCCTGCAGTAAAATTACATCGGAGCACTGCTTCGGAGCTTGTTTTGGTGCGGAAAAAGTCACGTGACGTCCGAAACACAAACCGTTTCGTTGTCGGAATGAATCGCTTGACTGGTTCGTGGTCCAAACAGCTGATTCAGGCACCGCCTCGTCTCGATGCTGACAGGTTGAGACAGCGTTGAGACCGTTTTGAATTGGGAGCGCTCAACACTATGAAACAGCTCTAAAATGTTTGCAATGTGTTGGAGAGTAGGTGTTTCTGCTGCTGTTAGTTGAAATAGAGTAATTATAGAGGCAGCCAGGAAAAGAGGTCGTTCTAACATGTGGGAACACTTCATTCTGCTCATGATGAGGTGGTTTTGGCTTTTAAATGTCAAAAAAGTTATAGTAATGTTCAGCAGGAAAGATATTATCCAACTCATTTAATCCATGTATTTAATATAATTACAGTAAAATTATGTCTGTGATTTTAATCATATCAGTATGGGCCCAAATTATTTTATTTACATAAGTGTATTTGTGCAGGTGCAGTGTTTGGTGTGTTCAACTGAACTGAAGCATCATGATACCTCCTCTGATTAGACACTTCAGCGCCAAACATGGAGATGCTGGAGACGTCATTTCATTGTTTTATGAAAGATAAAGACTCGGACTCTGCCACAGTTACACAAGCACAATACCATCGCAACATTTTAATTGAATCTCTTCACATTTATCAATCTTTATTCAAAAACATTTAACCATAAATACATTTTCAAACCAGACAACATAGAAAGTTGATGAATTTAAAAAAAAATCTGTTTTGTTTTTTTACCAGAGTAAAGTAGTTTAAGACTAAAGTCACTGAAGTTCTTGGTGTGTGCCACCAAAAGCACACCACCTAATTTGACAGCAGCATTGCAAAGTGCCACAAGAGGTCGCTGTAACTGAAGCTTCAACAAATGAACCCATTTTTGAAACAATTGGTCCAACTGGTTCAATGCTTCATAAAAGCTTAATTTGCTCATCACTACATAAAACATGATCTGCAAGAAATATAATGAAGGCAAATGATTAATAGACTCACTGCAGTAAAAAAAAAACCAAGTGCCTCGGTGGTCGCGCGCTGATCCGCAGCTTCCTTTGCGTCACTTCCGCTTCCGCTCAACAATGGCGTCCTCCGTGACTGAAGACGGCACGAGCGACGCGCAAACAGGGAAAAACTCTAAAAATGCGAAAAACCAAGGTGAGTTTGAAACGTTACCGAGATGACGACGGTTCCTGGACGCGCAGATACTTGTCAGAGTTGAATAAAACTATTCGTGTTTGATTTAAACGTCATGTTGACGCGCCGGAGTACCAAGCGTGCACGAGATGTTGGTTAAACCCCGACTTTGATGTTCACAGGGAACCTTAAAGTTTTGTGTGTTCATACCACGTAATATAACTTCATAGTTTGAGACATTTAAAGACTATATTGCAATTATGTTAAACTTTGTAAAATACGTTTTTAATGTACTTCCCACATGCTTGATAAACAGCACCTCGTTAAAAACTGATGCAGCAGGCAGCATGTGAACGTGTTTTAGTAGTTTCCCGTGTATTACCAATGGTTTGTTTAAAGTGTCGTTTTATGTTGTGCAGTGGATGAATCTGAACTTCTGACTGTTCCTGATGGGTGGAAGGAACCAGCGTTTACTAAAGACGACAACCCCCGCGGCCTGCTGGAGGAGAGCAGCTTCGCAACACTCTTTCCCAAGTACAGAGAAGCCTACCTGAAGGAGTGCTGGCCGCTGGTGGAGGCGGCTTTAGGACAGCTGGTATGTAGCATCAGCACTGGTCGTCTGCATGGACATAAAGCACCCAAACCAAAAGGAACTGGCTGCTGGTGTAACTCTGCTACCTCCTGATTGTGCAGTGGCTTGCTGTCTTTATAAAACTAGGTGCTTCTTGATACTGGTTGTCTATTTGTGTGCAAATTTAATAGGAATAGGAAACTTATAAATGAAGTAGGTACTGTTTGCTCTAGCCTACTGCCAGAGACAAAACAATGTTTGCCTGTGTGTGTGTGTGTGTGTGTGTGTGTGTTGTTTTTTTTGCCAAAATGTCTCGTAAGCCACATAAATTTAGAAAAGTAATTGGAATCTACATATTTTAACAAATTAATTTGAGTCCACCCAATTGAAGATGACTTTTGCAGCTAATCGGTCTTGGCAAACAAAAATAGCTGTAATTTTATTTAACTTTAACTACATTGATCTAGAGTTTGATGTGGTAGTAGCTGAGGATCATTCTCAACGCATGCTTCAAGTAGAGAAGCACCGATCCGATATCTGTATCGGTACAGATATCTGGAAAAACCTCTGGATCGGGTATCTGTGACAATGAGACTGATCCATTTTCCGATCCAACCTGCAGAGATTTCCGATCCATGATGCATGTTGGCTTCAAACTATGGAATGGATTTCCTGAACGGCGGCGTGTCTCATGCACCCAGAGTAATAAGACCCGCCTCACATTCAGGAAATCCAGTTCACAGTTTGCAGCCTGCTACAACGTGAGGGCTGAGTTAGCAGCACTGTAGCTAACGGCTAACAAACCTTTCATCTAAACATGTCCGCTGTGTGGAAGTATTTTACACTAAATGCCACAAAACAAGACAGCAACGTGCAATGTCTGCAGAGCCATAGCGCCACATTAAACCACGGTAAAGTTAGTTTTACGTTGGACATTCAAGCTCCGGGGCTTCAGCGGTCTGCTCCTCTCACTGAAGCCGTAACAGGCAGCTGACTCCGGCCAGCCGCGTCCAATCTGCCCGTCTCTGAGGAGGGACAGACTGAGCGTGGCTGACCCAAATCAGGCTGCCTGCTGCAGATTGAACAAGACGAAGACATCGCTGAATCCACGGAGCTCGAATGTTTACAGAGAATCACTTAAATTAATCACTTTAATATCCACTTTAAAACTAGGAATAAAAAGAAACATGTTTTGTGTTAGCAGAATTTAATTCTAACTTTAAAACTTTATCCAACATTAATAAAATTTCAAGTTGCCTTTTTGGACATGCATGCATATATTTATATATGCATATATTACAACCTCATATAAAATCAATGATGATCATGATATTGGAACTGGATCGATATCGATCGTTATTCAGACTTGAGTATCGGATCGGGGGAAAAAAAAAAAAAAAGTGGATCGGTGCATCCCTAAGATTCAAGCACTAACAGATTTCACGAGTTTGTTCATAACATCGTTTATAAGGTTTGACCAAAACAACTGGAACCCTGTTCCTCCTTAGGACAAGCTGCGCTTGGTGTAAGACACATAAATGATGATATGCATCGTTCCACACACGCTGCAGAATGAGTTAAAGGCTGGTTTATCTCCTCACAACATGCAAGACATCTAATCTCGCTGATGTGGTTGTGAGATGTTTATTTTAATTTGTTCTACATGAACATTTTATACTAGAAGAGAAACTGTGGCGCAGAATTCCTGGTAAGCACATCACACCCAAACAGCAACACCACAGACGGCACAGTTGGCAGAGAGGATGGTTATTTTCGGCTGATGATGCAGGAGTGGGTGAAAGAAAAGCTCTGGTATTTTTGTGGTTAACAAGGAGAGACCGCTGCTGTTTCTGACTGTGCTGTGATGTGTCCCTACGCTGTTCGACCTGAGAGTACTCCCTTTGGGCCAGCACGTCTACAGAGACCTGCCTGCGTCTCCTCTGAGCATAAACAATGTGCCGTCTCCTTCCTCAAGTTCTTAGACTAAGTTTTTATTAGACAGAACAGTCGTAAACTTGACTGTATTTTCTAACAGCCTCGGCCAGCTGCTCCTCAGTCGAGCAGTTGCAGCGAAACGAGATCTGTGTCACTACACTAGGTGCATACCCCTGCGGGACAACAGTTCTGACAGTGTTGTGAACAGAGCGGGGTCTTGGGTGCGCACCCAAGTCCTCAGCCTCGTTCCCACAGTCTTTACCTGCAGGCAGAGTGTGTCAGGGTCTGGAATCGGTCTTTATAATGCACATTCAAAATCAGCAGCTGTTCCCAAAGTGCTGAACAATAATATAAAAAAAAAAAAACAATGGCATTAATTAAAAGAAAACAAAATTATTTAAAAGCATCAAAAGAAAAATATAAAAACGAGCTTCAACCAAAAGCAGCTGGTCAGATGATCTCAGCCCCCGAGAAGGAACAAATGGTTGAAGTAGGTCACAGAGAAATGAGGGTGCAAGGTCATGTAGGCACTTAAAGGTCAACAGGAGAATTTTAAAATGGATTCTGACACTAACCAGTGAATGAAGGACAAAACTGGTGAAATATGATCAAACCTGCTGTTGGATCATGTTTCTGTGGTCAAACGGTACCGGTAGGTTTGATCACAGGAATCACAAACAGGAGTTAACAGTTCGGCTAGTATCTCCTGTTAGTAGCCGAACTGCAGTATTTTGGACGAGCTGGAGACGTGACCGACCCCAACATAACGCACGTTACACAAGTCTACTCTGATTAATGAACGCATGGACTATTTTTTTTTCCAAGGTCTGATCAGAACAACACAGACTTCAGCTTAGATATCTGCCTTAACTGGAAGAACAGTTTTGTAGAACAGAGTAAATGTGTTTATTAAAAACTTAAAGTCGGAGTCGAAAACCATCCTGTGATGGACGGATGAAACGTCTCGGCAAAAAAAGAAACCAGATGACGCGACTGAACATTGTTGGATTATTGAGCATGAGCTGTTCCTGAGATTTGGCTCGAGAGAGTGTAGGTCAACAGGAACAGAGACGGCAGTAGAGCTGGGCCTAAACACAATGACTGCACTTTTCTGATCGTTGAAACTTTAAATAATTGAAACCGTCCATGAATTGATGTCAAGACATTTTAACAGAGGGTGGATGGAGCAAGAACCTTTTGGCTTTTAAAGGCAGTGGTGCTGGATCTGACTCTTTCCAATGTTGCCCGCATGTTTTACAGTACATCAAAGCCTCTCTGGACCTGATTGAAGGTAGCGTAACCGTCTGCACCACGAAGAAAACATTTGACCCCTACTCCATTGTCAGAGCGAGAGATCTCATTAAGCTGCTGGCGAGGAGCGTCCCGTTCGAACAGGTAACGATGGAACACTTGTTACCTGTTTAGCTCCTCGTCATGAGTTTGTTGTTTCCATTTATTCTGTTGCTTCACCCACGGTGTTGTTTCCAGGCTGTCCGCATCTTACAGGATGACGTGGCCTGTGACATCATCAAAATCGGGACCCTTGTGAGGAACAGAGAGCGATTTGTGAAGAGGAAGCAGCGGCTGATCGGCCCAAAGGGCTCCACCTTGAAAGTGAGTTCACGTTGATAAACACCTTCAGGCTTTAGCTTCACAGAAATGATCTGCGTCAGCCAAATCAAAGTTCATCTGTTTAGGTGGGAGGGTTTTAGTCTTCATGCAGCTGCAGCAGAAATTCTCCGGCGGATCACGTCCTGCTCCAAATAAAACCTGGACAGAGAAAATGACCCGTGTTCTTGCTGAAATTGAAACATTAAAGGAAAAAGGTTTGTCCGCTCAGTCGTCCAGGTAGATAGCAACAGTAAAGGTTAACTCGTGTCATCTGGACCGGTTGCTTTTTAGGGAGAAACGTTTCGTCCCCCATCCAGAGGACTTCGTCAGTCCGCGATGAAGTTGGGAGACAAAACGTTACTCACAAAGGAACTGGTCCAGATGACACGATCTAAGTGTTTTTTTTTTTTTTTACTAAGTAAAGTAATTTCAGTAAAATTAACTCTTGTTGCTTTTTATTTTTTATATAATATTTTAAAGCAACATGTTAAGTTAATTTTGTCAAGTGAATGATTTCTGTTTTGTTTTTTTTTAATATCACAAAATTGATTATGGTCAGAATACTCTGAAACGTCACGATATGATATGCGAGTCATATCGCCCACCTCTAGATGGCAGCACTAATTTATGCCTCGTCATCATAAGCTGCTTGTTTGGCCATTCCAGTGTGTTAGAAATATAACGTCCTCGTGAGCTTTAATTTTCTACATCTGTCGTTTATAAAACTGACTGCGGTTTGACGGCGTCGGAGCGGAGGCAGTGATCAGATTAAGCTGCAGGAGCGTGAAGTGGAGCAGTTCCTCAGACGTGGAGCAGACTGCCAGCAGTCCAACACTTCAGCCTGAGTTTAAAGTGTTTATTGTAGCGGTGACGGCAAAGAGAAAACTTTGAACTCTGACGCCTGTCCGCTTCTTCAGCTGCGGGTTTTTATACGCCTGTTGAGGGCGAGATGTGCATGCACATGCATCATCGCTAGGCGGCGTGTCGCATATACTTTCAAGGTCACACGAAAGGTCAAATATAAACGTCTCTGCTTGTCGAGGCCATTGCTATAGATTACTGTAAAAAGTTTGCTGAGCTGTGTGTAATGTGCCGCACGCTGTTTTACTCCCCCTTCAGCTGTTGTTTTGTTGTGTGTGTGTGTGAGAAATGATTAGCTTTTTGGTATTTTACGTCTTTTTTCGTTTGGTTTTAGAGATTTACATCATTTTTTCTTTAGGAAGAAAAAAGCAGACCATGGATTAGGTTTGCATATATTTTGTTTAACCTTTATTTATACAGGTAGTCTCATTGAGTCACGAGGACTCATTTTCAAGACAATTGGGAGCAGATGGTGGGGGTTAACGGCCTTGCTCAAGGGCCCAGAGTGGGGCCAATGAGGGTGGAGGCAGGTGTGGGTGCTTCGTCTTTTCCTCCCACATTTTGACGTCAGTATGGGGAGTCGAACCAACGATCTTCCAATCACAGGCCCATCTTCTCTAACCTCTGCACCCCACTCCCCTTATCCCATGTGCAGTGGGCTATTTTTTTAACATGCAACTTTCTGAACTGTCCAAGTTTTAAACGTGTATAAACTAAACTCACTTGATGTTTCTGTAGAGAACAAGCTCCTAACATTTAATGTGTCCCGTAATGAAAAACATCAGCGTCTTGATTCTGATGTTCAATAAGCTCCAGATGTGTAGCTCTGAAACAAACTCAGCTGTTCCGTTAGTTTTATTCTGTAAACTCAACATTTGATCATGTTCCATCACATTCTTCTTGTTGTGAAGCTCTAGAAGGGGCTGAGATGGTGTAGGAGCAGGGCAGCCGACTCGGCACCCCAAGGTCCTGTGTTCGATCCCCAATCATTGCACATGTCGTGGTGTCTCTGAGCAGGACACCCAATCCCGAATTGCTCCCCGGGCACCTACATAGCTGCCCACTGCTCCACCTGGATGTATTCCAGGTGCATTGGGTTAAATGCAGAGAACCAGTTTTGTCTTTGTATGGGAACATACAATGATGACAACACATTTATTAATTTATTATTATTAAAGTTTATTTCCAACACAATGAAACGTTAAACAGTCGGAGCTAAAGAGCTGACGATCCACTCGCTCGTTGATCAAGGTTTCAACTTGAGTTGGGGAAATGTTGCTTTTCATTCTTTGTCATACTGTCTGAATTAAAAACGAGTACAAGCTATAAATGTAATAACGCAGGGATGGGGCCGATCCGGTATCGGCATCCAATACCAGCATAATTTACGTTTTCCGATCCATGTTGTATGTTGGCTTCTTTTTTTTTTTTTCCCTTGTCCTGTCCGGCATTGTGACACTTATAATTATTGTCTGAGTGCCAAAGTGATGCCCAACTACTTTCACAAGCAGAGCATTATCGCTGGCCTTAATGCTCCACTTCATATATAAATTAAATTTTATTAGAATTTGCTTTGGGCTTGTTTTAGATGTAATGGACACGGAGATGAAAAACAAAGAAGATAAGAGAGAAGGGTTAAAAGGTGATGCATGTTGGCTTCAAACTATGGAATGGATTTCCTGAACGGCGGCGTGTCTCATGAACCCAGAGTAATAAGACCCGCCTCACATTCAGGAAATCCAGTTCATAGTTTGCAGCCAGCTACAACGTGAGGACTGAGTTAGCAGCACTGTTGCTAACAGCTAACAAACTTTTCATCTAAACATGTCCGCTGTGTGGAAGTATTTTACACTAAACACCACAAAACAAGACAGCAACGTGCAATGTCTGCAGAGCCATAGCGCCACATTAAACCGCTGTAACATAAGTTTTACATTGGACATTCGAGCTCCGGGGCTTCAGCGGTCTGCTCCTCTCGCTGAAGCCGTAACAGGCAGCTCACTCCCGGCCAGCCCCACTCAGTCTGTCCGTCTCTGAGGAGGGACAGACTGAGCGTGGCTGACTGAAATCAGGCTGCCTGCTGCGGATTGAACAAGAAGAAGACATCGCTGAAACCACGGAGCTCAAATGTTTACAGAGACTTCATCATAATTAATGACCAACCACTATCAGTTGTAGAAAACGAAGGATTTCACAGCTTGATACTTGCAGCTAAAATATAGTTTACCCTCCAGGAGATATTTATCAGTACAACAGTAGACAATCATAAAAAACATGATTTGAAAATTACAAGAAAATTATATATATTAGAAAAAAACTAAACAAAAACAGTTGCATTATAAAGTGATATAAAATACTAAAAACAGGAACATGTCTGTTGATTTATGTCATGAACTTAGCAGATGTTTGAAGACATTTAACATTTTATTTAATTTAATTCATTTATTCATTCATTTAAATGAAACAAAAATAATCAAAATCATCAAAAAGAAAACACTGAATGAAAAGAGTGAAGAAAGAAGAAAAAAATTCCTATGTCCACCTTATTTAAAAAAATATAAAATAACTAAACAATCACTTAAATTAATCACTTTAATATCCACTTTAAAACCAGGAATAAAAAGAAACATGTTTTGTGTTAGAATTTAATTCTAAGTTTAAAACTTATCCAACATTAATAAAACTTTCCTCAAGTTGCCTTTTTGGACATGCATCATATATTTGTACAAATTGTACTTGAGAGGAGATTATTACAGCCTCATATAAAATCAATGATGATCATGATATCGGAACTGGATCGGTTTCGGCCGATATTCAGATTTAAGTATCGGATCGGAAGTTATAAAAATGTGGATCGGTGCATCCCTAAGATTATTTTACGACCAGATGTTTTTGATGATTTGTAGGTTTTGAGCTCCAGACTTCCTGCTTAAATATAACTGTCCTGCATTATGAAATAAACACCAACTGGTGGCAGTATTGCGTCTTTTCAAACACTTTAATATAGTGACCAACTCTAAAATATTGCTGAACTCAATAATAATTTCAATATTGATAACAATGAAATGTTTTGTTTTGCTCTTCAGGCACTGGAGTTGTTGACCAACTGCTACGTGATGGTGCAGGGCAACACCGTGTCGGCCCTGGGGCCCTACAACGGCCTTAAGGAGGTCAGTGTGTCTCGCAGGAGTCGAGCTGTTGACTGAAAACTGCTCTGCAGGATGTTGAAAAGTTAAACCAACTTATCTGTGTTTGCAAACCAGTAGAATAAACCCAGAACCCAAGAATGATGTCATGACAGTGATGTCACTGAATGGCTGTTTATAGTCTCTTACAAACGTAACACTTGTCAGTTTCAGCTCATCTGTTCGCTGAAACTGACAATTTACAAGTCCCAAATTCCTGTTGTCTTCACGGGAAGTCTTACTGAAGTTTGGACAGCAGCTGCAGAAGTACACTTTGAAATTTCTTCAACAGTTTTCTCATTTCTGTGACGTTGTCCCCTGTCGTCGAGTGAAAAGAGGATTGGAAAAGCTGTCCATCCATGCATGTTGTGAGCTGATGACTAAGCACCGACTTCCTTTAGGTGTGTGGCGGCATCCAGGCATATGAGGTCACCATCAAGAACTGGGTTGCCGCTATAGCCTGACCGATACGGAAATTTTGGCGATCACTAATATTGGGAGGGACCAGCAATAACTCATGTACTGGCTGAATATTTTTGAGCTTTGTCCACCCCCAAGTATCTAAAACATGGAGTGGAGCTTGGCTTGTTTATTTAGCGTGGCTATTGGTAACCATGAAGCTAAGCTAATCAGATCCATGCTTTGATTTGTCCCGCTCCAAGTGTACAAGTGGTCATAAAAACAGTTCCTAACGTGCGTTCACATTTTCTGTCCTCCACTATTCGCCATAAAGTTCTCAAGTGTGTTGCATAAATGCAAATTAAAGAAACACCCTTCCTGTTCTTTGTTTAAACAGTCACGTATGGTTAAAGTCTAATTAGTATTGACCGCAGGAGAGTTTGTTTTTCTTTGCAGAGAAGTAAATATTTCAAACAAACAATGCATTTCATTGAGGATGACAAAGATAAAGTTACTAACACTGATACATTTTACCTCTACGTTAGATTTATTGTTCTGGATAAAGTTTTACAAGGTAATAGTGTATGCTAGGTTATCTAAATGTTAGCTTGCTAACTTGAGAGGCACGTAGCTAATGACAAGCAGGTTGGAGGATTGAAGAGAATTTATTATTGATTTTTTTTATATATATATTTACAGATCAGTTTAAATAAATTTACCATGCTCTGTTCAGCAAAATGAACTACACAGTATTGCTCCCTGCTTTGTCAGTGTTGAGCTGAAAGTGAAACTTAAAGTGAACGGCCATGACTTTAAACTAGTCTTCATGCGCCCTCTGCTGGATACATTGTACAATTACGGCTGGTTCCAGCATCTTAGTGGTGAAAATTCAAGTGTTTATATTGGCACATAATGGAACAATTATCACCGATATCAGTAGGTCCCCAAACATCTGTATCAGAACTACCGATATATCGGGTCAGGCGCTAGTTGCCACATCAAAATCCAAGATGGCCACCTGTGGGTGGGTGTGTGCGTGCAAAGATGCAACTCCAGTCGTTTGAGGAAACTTTGCTTTCTAGTTTTTACATTGCTTAAAAGTTTCATTCAGTGTTTGATGTGTCCAGAGATTGGCTGCCCCCTGGCTCTGCCATTACACCTTGTGGATAAAACTTATCCCTCCTCTCACCAGGATCCATCACTCTGCGTTGTCCCGGACAAAAAATAAAGAAACCTTCCCCTTTTCTACGCAGTTGAACTGCTAACCACTTGAATAGTTTGCACTAAAACATTAAGGTTTACTTCCATTCCCCTTTCAGTTCCAGTCCAGTAAAACACTCACTTTAAACTTCAAACATTCACTATTCAAATCCCTCAGCGACGGGAGACTTTGGTGTACCTCTTGTTTTTTTGTTTTTTAATAAGAAATGTACTATTTTATTAGTTGTAAATATTGTACTTATTTATTTTTTTGTAATTATGATGTACTTAGTCAAACTTGTTAAAAATAAAAACATTTATTTTACACTAAAATAATTATTTTTGGTCACATGTATTGTACAGGTGCGCAAAGTGGTGATGGACACAATGAAGAATATTCATCCTATTTACAACATCAAGGTATGTATTTTTAGTTTTTCTGCTGGATTAGGAGGCTTTCATTCAGGACATGGATCAGAAACATTATAGTGACAGACGCATTCATGCCCAATGAAGATTTCCTCCATCCTTGTTCTGGATTTCTTGACTGATGAAGACTCTCTCTGGGTTTGTTTGCCGAGGTCGGCTCAACCTGGAGCTGAGGGCATGAAGAGGCCAGAGGGAAACATTTCTGTTCGTATTTCTAAAGTGTCTGTTGAAATCCTGCTCAAACATTATGCATCTAATTCACACAGATTCTTTTTGGTGCAAACGCGCTCATCTTCAGTACCTGGCAACACAAAGACAAAGTTTACCAAAACCATAAAACATCCAACCATTGAGTTTGAGAGATGACAGCTGAAGCTTGACATTTCTTCAGTTCCTGAACCCTTTAAAGATTTTATGCAGTGTGGTTTTTGACAACTTTTTTCAAATTGACACTTTTTATTATCTGTTGTATTTAACTCATTGATATTACCTCAATATTAGTAATGTTTTTTATAGAGCCTGTCCATTATGGAAGTTTTGGCTATTGCGGATACCGATGTTTGGGGCCGTGACAGCCGATAACCGATATATTAGCTGAAAAATTTTAAGCTTTGTCAATCCCCAATAATCTCAGTAAACAGCGAGTGGAGAGGGGTTTGCTTATTTAGCACATCTGTTAGCAACCATGAAGCTAAGCTAATCAGATCACTAGTCCCACAGTAGGTTTACAGGTGGTGCACTGGTCATAAAACAGACTTCCTAATGTGCTTTCACATTTTCTGTCATCCACTGTTCACCATAAAGTTCTCAAGTGCGTTACAAAAATATAAATTAAATAAAGAAACGTCCTTCCTGTTCTTGTTTGAACAGTCAGACACGTGTGGTGAAGGTCTAAATAGTATTGACCGCAGCAGTGTTTTTTTTTTCCTTTGCAGAGACATAAAGATTTCAGACAAACTGTATTTCATTGAGGATGACAAAGATAACATCACTAACACTGATGTATTTTAACTCTGTTAGATTTATTGTTCTGGATAAAGTTTTACAAGGCAATAGTCTATGCTAGGTTTTGTAAACGTTAGCTTGCTAACTTGAAAGGCATGTAGCTAAGGACGAGCAGGTTGGAGGTTTGAAGAGAATTTATTATTGTTGATTTATTTTACATTCATTCTTTCAACCTTTATACAGGTTAATCACATTGAGCCTTGGACTCATTTACAAGAGAGACCTGAATATCTCAGTCAGTCTCTAGTTTTTAATATATTGTCAGTCTAAAATGCAGGAGAAGGTTATATATGATCACATGAAATACAACAGATTCATACGTCAGTGGAACAGACTGTCAACATGAATGTAAGAATCATATATTGTTTCAACTTGTACTTCAATGTTTAGATTTAGGAAACTAATACAGAATATAACCTGTTCCTCCAGCAGCAGTAGTTGATTTAGTGTTTTAAAAATACAGGAAAGTACTAAATTAGTTTTTTTTGCATTTTTCACACATGGTGGTAGTATTAGTGCATTATTTTCAGGACCATTATTTTATGTCGATGAGTGTATAATGTGCCGTATGTGGTACTCTTCCCTGAGCACACACAACTGATTAGTACTCAGTGTTATTAGTATTGACAAGTAATCAAATGTAGGTACTTGTACTCGGGTTTAAAAATAATGGTATTGGTGCCACCACAAATATAAGCACCACTTTGTAAACATTCACAGAAAATATACAGGAGTTCAATACGAGAACAGGCTCACAGCTCCACAGAAATTTGTTAAAAAGTGATGGGGATGTAAAGGTCATGGATGTATAAGTTGATGATGGGATAATTAAATTATCCAACAAAAATAATGTAATTATAATAAAGAAAATGTGTATTGACCCTAAGTTGAGAGTGCCACTAAGTCACGATGATGATGATAATTAAGAAGTAAAATCCCAGAATTAGAATTAATTGGAACAAAGTTATTCCTAGGATCCAGCAGAATTAAAATGGTCTTAGAGTTCAGACAGAACTTCTGGTTTAAGGCATCATCACTAAAGTTTCATATTCTCTCCTGTCCTTTTGCCAACCCCTCCCACGGCCACAACCATTAGACCCTGATGATCAAACGGGAACTCACCAAAGATCCTGAACTGCGGACACAAAGTTGGGAACGCTTCCTGCCAAAGTTCCGCCACAAGAGCCTGTCCAAACGCAAAGTGCCCAAGAAGAAGGGCACAAAGAAGGAGTACACACCGTTCCCTCCACCACAGCCAGACAGCAAGGTCAGGGGATGGAGGCAGTCTTTCTTGGAATCAACAGATTTCCATCTGAAGTGACTTCTAACTGTGCGGCCTTCTTTTCCAGGTTGACAAAGAATTAGCCACAGGAGAATTCTTCCTTCGTGAAAGTGTGAAAAGGAGGAAGAAGATGGAGGAAATCAAGGTGAGCTTTTGGAGCTATCACCTCCGTATCTGCTTACATTTCTTAACAAAAGTAAATACTTAAATAAGTTTTTTTTTTTTTAATTACCTTCCTAATGTTTAGTTTCAGAAAACGACCCCAAAAGTATTAACCTGTATTAACCTTCAAAGGGTTTCCTTAAAGTCCCTGCTTGAAAATAACATGGCCAAATGTAACTGATTGTTTCTCAGCAATTACAAACTCTTTAAATCATCTTTGTATCAACATAAAGCCAACATGTGTGAGATTTTATCAAAAATATAAGCATTGCAGCAGCTGTTTCACAGAAAATGAGGATGGAACTTGACAAAAAAAAATCCTTGCTTGAAGTTTTTCTGCATTATAGAGTACTGTAATTTACTGAATATTGATAGCACCTGAATATAAGCTGTGCCCACAAAATAAAAAAATAAATAAAAATTGCACATGTATAGGCTGCAATAGACATAACTTTTCCTTAGTTTATACACATCCCAGGAGAAATTTGGTAAGTCGGCCTTCTTCAAGGCAGAGCGGGAGAGTAAGATTCAGATGAGCCGCAATTGTTGCCTTTTTTTTTTTCAGGCAGACTGTTTTTTGTCTTGTCAGCCTTGAGTTCTGCTGGTACTTTCTATCCAAAATGGCCAGATTTGTGAGCATTCCACTGGTCCGTGCTGATGAGCTCCCTCCAAGGTTGTCCCCAACGCGCTGGCGACTCCCAGAAACCTCAAGTGGCTGCGATACAATACAATACAATACAACTTTATTTATAGAGCACTTTAAAACAACACTGTTGGCCAAAGTGCTGTGCACTAGGACATACAAAAACATAAAAACCCCACACGTTAAAATGTGAAATAAAATAAAGATAACAAATAAAATAAAACAAATAACTTAGAGTCGTTAAAACCAACATTTCAAACTGAAGTAAAAGCCAAAGAGAAAAGATGTGTCTTCAGAGAAGACTTAAAAACAGGAAGTGAGCCAGCTTGTCTGACATGCAGAGGCAGCTCGTTCCACAGTTTAGGGGCAGCGACTGAGAACGCTCGGTCACCTCTCAGTCTCCTGTTGGACCTTGGGACGACCAGCAGCAGCTGATCTGCTGACCTGAGAGAGCGAGAAGGAGTGTACAGCTGGAGCAGGTCGGACAGATACTGTGGGGCGAGACCATGAAGACATTTGAAAACAAATAAAAGAACCTTAAAATTAATCCTGAAGCGAACCGGGAGCCAATGTAGTGATTCTAAAACAGGGGTGATGTGTTCTCGTTTTTTGGTACCAGTTAAAAGGCGGGCAGCTGCGTTCTGAACCAGCTGAAGTCGAGTCAGTAATGACTGGCTCAGACCGACATAAAGAGAATTACAGTAATCCAGGCGAGTTGTGATGAAAGCATGGATTAAGATCTGAAAATGATGTTGTGACAGAAATGGTTTGACCTTGGCCAGTTGTCTCAAATGAAAGAAGCTGGACTTGATCACTGATTTAATCTGCGTGTCAAGTTTGAAGTCACTGTCCAGCCTCACGCCCAGGTTAGTTGCTGTCTCAGTCAGATGTTCTGTTAAAGGACCTAGATCAGCATGGATATTGGAGCCTTCACTAGGCTTAAACAACAAGACCTCTGTCTTTTTGTCATTAAAATGTAAAAAGTTTAGTGACATCCATGCTCTGACTTCTGCCATACACCCCAGGAGTTGTTTCAAGGAATGGTGTTTGCCCTGTTTTAACGGAACATAGATTTGGCTGTCATCAGCATAAAAATGAAAAGAAATGCCATGTTTCCGGAGAAGATGTCCCAGAGGGAGTAGATACAGGGAAAACAGAAGAGGGCCAAGTATAGAACCCTGAGGTACTCCACAAGTGAGAGGGGCTACAGAGGACTCCACAGCACCAATGCGCACGCAGAAGTTTCTTTCTGTCAGATAGGATCTGAACCACTGTAGAGCAGGACCCTGAATGCCCACCCAGTTCTCCAGACGAGACAGGAGGATGTGATGGTCTACTGTGTCGAAGGCAGCAGTCAAGTCCAACAACATTAAAACTACACAGTCACCAGAGTCTGCGGCTAAAAGAATGTCGTTGAAGACTTTCAGCAGCGCAGACTCAGTGCTGTGGTGAGTTTTAAAGCCAGATTGAAACTGTTCAAGAAGGTTGTGGTCGTTTAAGTATGATGTTAACTGATTGTAAACAATTTTCTCCAAGATCTTAGATATGAAGGGCAGTTTTGAGATGGGTCTAAAGTTGGACATTACTGTGGGGTCTAGGCTAGGTTTTTTAATCAGTGGTGTCACAACTGCATGTTTAAAGCTCGCTGGTACCTGTCCACATGCCAAGCTGTCATTTATAATTTGGGACACATGAGGAGCCACGGTGTGAAAAACCTCTTTAAAAAGACGAGGTGGGATGGGATCATTTGGGGATCCAGCAGGTTTCATACGACCAGTGATGTCAGTTAAGGAAGACAGGGTGACGAGCTCAAACTGACTGAAGACAGCAGAGCGTGTGACGGAGACGGAGGGGTCGTAAGAAGGAGGGCTTATGAGAGCTCTAATGCTTGAAACCTTATTGATAAAAAAGCTCAGGAAGTTGTCACACATTTCAGTGGAGTTCTCTGGGCTGGCTGATTGTGGGGCGTTAAGAACAGAGGTGATTGTTTTAAAAAGCACACGTGGATTGCTGGAGTTGGAGGAGATGATGTCAGAGAAATATTTGTTTTTTGCAGCTCTAACAGTGGACTGATAGAAGCGCCAGCTGTCCCTCAGAGCTTGGAAAGACACCTGTAGTTTGTCCTTCTTCCACTTCCGCTCTGCTCTCCTGCACTGGCGTCTGGCAGATCGTGTGACCTCATCAGCCCAGGGGTCAGGCTTTGGTCTGGAAGCTCTTGTTTTTAATGGAGCCACAGCATCTAAAACGTTTTGACAGGCTGAGTTAAAATTAGATGAGAGAGCATCGATATCTGAATGAAGACCCACAGGGTCTGTGGGGCTGATGGCAGAACTAAAAGCTGCAGAGAACTGAGAAGCAGTGGAGGAGTTAATGACCCGACGGGGCTGTGCAGGAGCGCGAGGTTTGACTGAGCGACAGACGAGTGGCATGTCAAACACAACAGGCATGTGGTCTGAAAAGGCAGCATCACAAACTTCCACATTAGAAACATTAAAACCGTGAGCTAACACAAGGTCTAAGGTGTGGCCACATTCTTGTGTTGGATCAGACACAAACTGAAGCAAATTAAAAGAGTCTATCAGCTGTAAAAACTCTTTGACCAACGGTTTATCAGCACAGCACACGGCTATGTTGAAATCTCCGACTATCAAGATCCTGTCATATTTAGGCAAGACTCCAGCCAAAAAATCTGCAAAGTCTGTCAGAAAGTCCTTATTGTATTTTGGAGGTCTGTATAAAACAGCACACAGTACGGGTTGTGAAGATCCGAGCTCAAACAAGTTGAACTCAAAGCTGGAATAACATGTTAAAGGTGTGATTTGTTTACAGAAATAGCTCTTCCTGTAAACAGTCGCTATTCCTCCTCCACGACCCGTCGTCCTTGGAGAGCTGAAGTATGCACAGTTTGGTGGCAGGAGTTCACAAAAAGCACTGGACTCACCGGCAGTTATCCATGTTTCAGTAATGAATAAAAAATCCAGACCACGGGAGGTGAAGAAGTCCTTCAGAATAAAGGTCTTGTTTGTTAAAGATCTAGCATTAACCAGAGCCATGTGAACATGAGATGGAGCCAGGGTGACGTCATCCATCCGAGGAGCTCTGTCCAGCAGCCGCAGGTTGTGGTGGTTCACTCCGCGGACGCGGAGGAGAGGAAAGGAGAGGCCGCGCAGCAGCGGCCCCCCACCCAGGCCAACAGCAGCCGGGGTGTGATCCGACGCAGGAGCCAGATCGAGCAGGTTGTGGTGGTTCACTCCGCGCACTCGGACGGGGGAGGGGGGAGGCATCGCGCAGGTTGTCCCTCACCCAGGCCAACAACAGGAGCCAGAGAAGAGCTGATGAGATCCAGGGAGCGCCATGAGATAAAACAATTAGATGCAGCTCCAAACTCAGAGAGAGCGGATAGGGAGGACGCCAGCTGAGCTTTCAGTCTGACCAGCTGGCCGCTGCGTCTCCCGCGGCGTCTGCGCGCTCTGCGCGCTGGTGGAGCTGGGGCGCGGCACAGGTAGGCCGGCACGTCCGACAGAAATGGAGGGAAAAAAGTTTTCTGGCTGTCATTCACAAACGGAGCCAAGTTGTTAATATCGGGTCGAAGATTAAAAAGCGTTTGGCGATTATACACCAGCAGAGAGTCGACACTAGTTATAAAAGCAAAAAACAACACAAAAACAATCAAAGTATGCAGGGAGAGGCAAGCCGAACACACTGGCGCCGCCATCTTGCAATCGATAGGCAAAGCTTTTTCCCTAGTTACCCATGTCCCAGGAGAAATTTGATAGTCAGCTCGTATCCGAGGCCAAAATGGGGAGTCTGATTCAGATAAGCCACGATTGTTGATTTTCTTCAGGTGACTTTTTTTTTTCTTGTCAGCCTTGAGTCCTACTGGAACTTCCCCCATCCAAAATTGCCAGATTTATGGGTATTTCACTCCACTTATCCATGTTGTGAGCCTTCCTCAAGTTTGATCCCAACATGCTGACGAGTCCTAGAAGCTGCAAATGGCCTGCGATTCTCACAAATCGCCTCCATCTTACGGTTTAGCTCATAAATCAGCTGAGTTTGAGTACTCATAGCATGAACCACACCTTCTCAGACTCAGAAGCTTTGCCATGGCCGAAATTGCTGCCGGTGTCTTCTTCAAAAGTTGATCAAATAGAGCCCCGTCAATGCCAAAGAGCAGAAACCCAGCTATTATAAATCCAAATATATAAAAGTCTTGGGCGTCCTCCTGAGACAGAACTGAGAGACACATCAGCTGATCTCTGATGTACCCCGCAGCATGAGTCTCAGCCGGACAAGAGGGTTCACCAGGACCCTGTCGTTTTGTTGAAAGATTTTGTCAATTCCATTGAAAGTCCAGCTCACCAGATCCATAATAGTATTTTTTGTTCGGGAGATGTGTACCAGGAGCTCCGAGACACAGAGCAAAAGCAGGAGGAAGAGGAGAACAGGAGGAGGGAGATTATAGTGTCTGTCTTGAGCAAGAGCCAGAGGAGGGAAAAAAAGCCATGATGCCATGGCTTAAGAAACATCAATAATACACAGAAAGGTATAACAGAATGCTGCATCACAGACAGGGAACTCATGTAGCAAGAATAAATACCATTACGAAATCAAGAAACCCAATTAACACAATTTAATAAGTTTCCTTCAACTTCATCCACAGCTGTGCTTCAAACATATTTAGCAAATGCATTAATGTTAATATATTAAAATATAAAAAATAAAAATGCATTTTACTCACCAAAAGCTGATTATTTATCCACAAACTCCTTCCTCCTTTTTCCCCTCAATACGAGTTCAGTTCCTCAGTCCTGCAGGTCATCATGGAGTCTCAGTTTCAACAAGAAATTATTTTCTCAGTATGGAAGCTTAACGCTGAAAGTCCAGTCTGCTCTGTCATGATTCTGGCATAAATTTTAGTTCACGTCATGGCTGAGCAATGGCGTCAGAAGCATTTGTAATGTGGGGGGACACACTGGTAGGGGAGTTGGGGGGGTCCTCCCCAGAAACTTGTGAATAAAGTAGATGCCATTTCCTGCATTCTGGTGTATTTTAGCAGGTTGTTAAACATCTATGTTTACCTACATAAGTAAACACTTGATTCAATAATTATTTTGGAGAGCAACAAGAAGTAGCCTGACCAACAGCTCTCCTTGTATGAATAGAGCAAGCGCCACTTCTCTCACGCATTCAAATACCTGACCCCTGGTCAAAAACTGCTGGCACTAACGTAGCGTTAAGAGCTAGCACGCAACACAGAGGTGTCTCCCCACTCCTCGCCCTGTCGACAAAAACCTCCAAAGAGATGAGTGCCCTGCCAAGGCAGGTGACCTCAGGGAAACTGCATGCGGTGTGGTGAGTTGTAGGTAACCAGGAAAACCCGGAGTGGATTTTTAGTGGTTTCTCCTATTGACTCAGTTCAGTTCAGTTTATTTATATAGTAAATGGACTGTACTTGTATAGCACTTTTCTATGTAATCAAGATACTCAAAGCACTTTACACTACAATCTGTGCCTCATTTACCCATTCATACAGCTCTCTACTAGATCTCTACAAAGCTAATTGAACAAATCATTCTAAAGAGACTAATCAGAGCTTTATCACATTCATACACTGATGGGACAAATATCGGAGGCATCGAGGGGTTCAGTGTCTTGCCCTGAGACACTTCAACATGTGACTGCTGGTGGATTCGAACCCCCAACTCTTGCATTGGAGGACGACTGCTCTAACCACTCAGCCACAGCCGCCCTGTGCCAAGTCACAACAGAAGTTGTCTCAGGGCACTGTACAAAAACATTCACATACATAAAAAAAGTTAATTAGTAACATTGTAACATTACTTTCTGACTTACGTTACATTAGTAACTTTATTTATCTAAGGTTATTTATCTATTAATCAAGCGTAATGGATTTCTTTGTGTAGCAATAGAAAACAGCACTGGGTGAATTAAGGATTCAAGGATTCAGGATTCTTTGTCATTTGTACCACATGTGGTACATGTGATGGAACAAAATTATGTACACAGGGTCCCAGTTACATCCAACAATAAAATGTAAAAGAAAAACTTTAATAAAATCTCAGATATGAACTAAGAAAAACATCAACTAAATATACACTAAGCACTAATAGCATAAAAGCATTACGTTGAACAGCAGCACGAACATGAGTCTGAGTGAGCAGATGAGCACGAATGAACACATAAATATGAAACAGAATGAATGCTTTTTTTATGTGAGGGGGACACGTCACATACAGTTAATGCAACACCTATGGGGCTGAGAATTTAATTCAATTCAGTTTATTTATATAGTGCCACATCACACAAAGTTGTCTCAGGGCACTTTACAGGAACATTCACATAAAAGCCAATTAATAAAGTTCTCTATCTAAGGAATCCAGCAGACAAGATGAATCTTGGCTTCGTTGCAGTCTCCCATCCTGAGCAAGCACAGTGGCAACAGTGGAAAGGAAAACTCCCTTTTAAAAGGAAAAAACCTCCAACAGAACCAGGCTCAGGACAAGCGGCCATCTGCTTTGACCGGCTGGTTGAGAGGACAGGAAGGAGAGACAGATGAACATAGAATGGTAGGTCCAGGTGTATCTGAAAGACAAAAACACATGTTAAGGATAGAAAAAATAATTACAAATACAAAACCGGTTGAGCAGAGTAAGTAAAAACAGTAGCAGAGTGAAGAAATGTGGTCAGTTTGTCCTCCAGCAGTCTAAGCCTATAGCAGCATAACTAAGGGACAGCTCAGGAAATCGAAGCTGACCCTAACTATAGGATTTAGCAAAAAGGAAAGTCTTCAGCCTAGTTTTAAAACTGGATAATGTGTCAGCCTCACGGACAGAGATTGGTTGGTTCCACAAGAGAGGAGCCTGATAACTGAAAGATCTGCCTCCCGTTCTGTTTTTGTAAATTCTAGGAACCACAAGTAAACCTGCAGTCTGAGAGCGAAGTGCTCTGTTAGGAAAATATGGAACAATAAGATCTGTAATATAAGATGGAGCTAGGTTGTTGAGAGCTTTGTAGGTTACAAGTAAGACAACCCTGCACATAAAGCAACACAGTGATGCAGACATTCTGCAGGGAGGTGGTGAGATTGTCCATGACCACTGCCAGAGGTTTTGTAGTGGTCCTGAATAAGAATGGTACCATGTTTATTCAGCCAGCTTGCTCTGATGAGTCCACAGACACTCTGGAGGGAGCCGAGGTTGACCATGAACACTCCCAGAGCTTCCATAGTAGTCCTGATAAGATGACACAATGTTTATTCAGCTGGTTCACTCTGCTAGGTGTCCAGTATAGACTTTACTGATTTACGTCTGCCTTCAGTCTTTTTTGTTTGTTTTTTGAGGCTGATCCAAATTAAGTGGTCTGACGTATTCCTAATTTGTCGATAAACCAGGAGCCAGTCGATTCCAAAAAGCAGGAAGCCTGATATCATAAATCCAATTATGTACGCGTCTTCGAAGTCCCCGATGGGCAACACAGATAAGCACATCGTCTTCCGTTTGAGTCCATGACATATCCAGCTGCGTGCGTCCCGTCGGGTCAAGCAGGTTCACCTGTAGTTCTCTTTGAGAAGAACATGAAAATGCTGACGTTGTCTAACGCTGTTAGAACGCTCCAGTGTTGCCAACTCAACGTCTGATTGGTCCATTTAATATGAGCTTCTTCGGCCTGCACTGTTGATTCTGAAGGCCTCGAGACAGATTTCTTTGATCCTAGCAACACATGATGGTCAACATATGATTGGAAAAAAGGCATGACATGTTACTGGAAGCTGCACAACCAAGAGAAAACATGAAATGAAGAGAGCAGACTTCAGAATAATATTAAAAACCAGAAAAAATACTAAAATATAAATTAGTGATTCTGGTTGTGTTTAGGTTCAAGGTTCTTTGTTGGCATTTGCATCACATGTGGTACACGAGGTGGAACGAAATTGTGTATTCGACGTCCCAGTTACACCCCAAAATAGCAAAAATATAAAGTATAAAAAAGAAACTGTATACAAGGATCTAAGATATACGCTAAACACTAATGATGTAAAATAATACGGTGTATTAAACAGCAGCCTGAACATGAGTCTGTAGTGAGCAGATGGGTATGTGTACAGCAGCTTAAAGACGAGATCAGCAGCATGGGTAATCAGCAGCACAGATAAGTCGCATATCACCAATTAAAGTGGCATTACAGTGATTTTATTTATTTCTCCCTGCAGTGATTTTCCTGGTTAGGGATTGATGAGTCCAACAGCTTCAGCTTCATGTTCAGGCCATCAGACGAGGCCTTGCTGGCCCTGACGGTCTACCACTGTTTACATGCAATCTGATGGCTAAAGACAGATTTTAGCACCAGATCGTAGGCGGTCACTTGGTCTGGGTTCTTCATTTTATTTCGTCAAACTATATTCACATGGCAAACACAACCGTTGATGTTTTTCAGGTGAAACAAGCAGAGGCACTGACCAAGAAGCAAGAGGAGCGAAACAAAGCCTTCATTCCTCCTAAAGAGAAGTCTTTGATGAAGAAGACCACGAAAGGTAATAATCACTGATCTGAGGGCAAAGCAGGACTGTAATAACACGACTAACCTTTGTCCCACTCCTGTGGACTTCCTGTGTCACAGCCCCCACAGAAGGGAAGCTGGACATCGAAGCCATCAAGGACAAGGTGAAAAAAGCCAAAACGAAAAAACTTGGAGCTCCACCGGTGAACCCATCTCCAACCTCCACCTCCTCCACCGACAAGAAGAAGAAAAAGAAAACAAAAGATAAAGGCTAACTACTGTCAGTCAGCACATTTGTACCATGTTTATAGTACTTTTTGAAGAGACTGTAAACACCCACAAGGACAAGATGTCTGACGTAAAGTTTGTATGTTTGTAAAAAAACAAAGCATGGACAGTTCCTTCCCAAACTCTCAATAGTGCTTTTGTTTTTTAGCATCTAAGAACATGTAAAATAATATTCTGTTTTCATCGCTGTCTTTAAGATTTTGAATGGACCATATTTATGCTCCTTTATTTTACTTAGATTTGTTCATGTAAAGACAGTTTTTATAGCCCTGCTTTCTTTTTTTATACCTTCTCCTATGATCCTTATTTTGGATGTTAGTAAGGTGTCCAAAACAAGCCCCTATTATCACCCCTCCACCACCGTGCTTAATGGTTAAGGTATTTGTCCTAAACTGTTTGGTTTTCTCCCATTATGCTACCGTGCATTATGGGTAAACGGCTCTAGTCTCGTCTGTATGAAGAACATTGTTCTGGAAGTTATGAGGTAGCTGAGAGGAAAATTAGCAAATAAGTGAAGCTGCCATGTTCATTTCAGTGAAGACTTTCCCTGCAACACTTCAACAGCAACTATACGCGTTTAGTTTTCTAATTGTTCTGTCATGAACCTTAACCTTTAACCTGCTGGCTGAGGCCTGTAGAGTCTGAGCTGGAACAATTTCTGTGACCATTGCACGGTCTGATCTTGGGGTGAACTTACTAGAACTCCTGAGATGATTGACAAATGTCTGTTTTTCACTTCAATAATTGTTCTTACTGTAGAATAATGGACTTTGAGATTTTGAGATTACCTTTGACCATTTCTAGATGAATGGGCAGCAACAGTTGCTGCAACAAGGTCGTTGCTATCGTTCCTCTGTGTGTAAACACACACCTGAATGTTTCAGAGCCCCCGTATATAATGAAAGCAACAAAGGTGGATCTTGTTTTTCCACAGTTTCAATTGACTGTTTTAAATAAAGAGTGACATGATAGAATCTGCTGTTTTTGTTCACTTGAGATACTGTGTGTATGTGTGTATATATATATATATATATATATATATATATATATATATATATATAT